TGATCCTTATACACCATAGAAAGCCACTGAACGCAAGTAGACTTGCTCGATTTTGAAACACATGAAAACGTATTAATCGGGGAGTGAAATGCAATGCTGAGCTCTTTTTATAATTTCTAAGGCTACTTTCATGAAAATAGCAATTAAAACAAAATTTGTAGATTCCCATGCAGCACACAAGAATTTACTGTGCTTGGTTGCCCTCTGAAATCTATTCACTATTGTTTACTCCCATTCTAGCTACAGCATTCCACATTTCGGAAAGATTTCAGAGGGAAACCAAGCATGGTAAATTCTCGCCTGCTGCATGGGAATTTGATGTTGTGCTAAACTTGAGACAATACGAAGTTCCAGAGCAAAAACTTAGCCAGATATATGACATTGCTTTAATATTTACTCACTTTTGCGCCCGTGTTAGACAACTTTAGAAGTTTTCAATTGACACGAAATTTGGGGATTTAATAGTACAATGATCAATTAATGTACTAAAGAAGTTTAAAAAAAATCTATCTACAAATTTTGTTTTAATCGCTGTTTTCGTGAAAGTAGCCTAGAAATTACAAAAAGAACTCAACATTGCGTTTTACCCTAATTCATACGTTTTTCAGAAGAAAATGCAGAGCAGGGCTGAAATTTGATTTTGTTGTTCAAGTTTTGCTGAACTCAAAGAGTTCTGGCACAAGTTTTAAGTTGGGCTATTGCATACTTTAATAAGTCAGTCCCTTGCAGTGTTGCGTGTGACCTATGTTTTACAATAAAAAGTTGTGTGCCTAAATATAAAGGTCATCTTTAATTTTCTGTTTTAGATTAGATGACAAGTTACTTCCAATCAACAACTCTCTTCTAAATATTAGACACCCCTTGTTAACATTAATAGAGTGCTTACCACTCGTCAGAACTGGCTTGCTGGACCAGTCCAGTCGTAAGGAGAATTCCACTATCAATCCAGGGCTGTAGCAAGCCTTTAGAAACTAGGGGACACAAAGAGTTTAGGTAGCTCATTTGTATTTGAAAAGCAGATGATTTTGGGTCTGGAGGACCCATTTGACTGGTCTCTGTATCTTAAAACCAGAAAATGTTTCACCTAGCTTCGGAAACATCATTGTTTCAGTGCTCTGGGAGGTGAATTTTTATTTTCAACTTTTACCTGTGCATGTTTTGACTTTTTGGGGCTAAAAACTGGGGTGGCCCCTCCCCATGCTATGGCCCTGTAATGACGACTATCCTGCTGCTTCAGTTTATTCCTAAATGGTGTGTATGGCAGTGATGGGTTTAAGTAAAAAAAGCTAATATTATTTGTCAGTTTTGACTTTTGGAAAGTGCCCTTGGAGCCCTTATTCATGGTATCATTTACATACAAACGTAACACTGGCACTTTTAGCCTCTCCTAAGGAGACATTTTTTTGCAGTTTTAAGGGGTGTCAGCTTATGGTGGGTTAGACTGTACGGCAATAGTTACTGTTTACAGAACAGTCATTTCTTGTGGAACTTATTCTTTAGAAGAAGCGTTTGAGTTTTGCTGCCACTCGTTAACAGAAGAACTAGAGTAGAAAAAGCATCAACTCGAACAAATTTATATAATAATAATAATAATAATAATAATAATAATAATAATAATAATAATTTATTTCTTATTAGGTGCAAATTAACATCTGAATATGTTCAAATGCGCCTAACAACTATAACTACCTGTAATAATTACAATAATGTATACTTAGGAATACCTAAAATTTATAATCTAAAATTTATCAATCTAACTATAACAGGCAAAAGCCTTCCTAAATACATTTGGAACTTCATGACTACAAGATTTATTATGTAAATGTTATTGCATTACTGTTGTTGAGGCACAGATGTCTCTCACTTGAAATATCTCTTGCAGCATGGTAAGATGGCTGTATATGTTGTGGTTTAATTTTATCCTTGGTTTAAATTTTATTTCCCTTTGTTTTGGGTTACTCCTCCTCATCCTCCTCTTCCTCAGGCCACTACTCTTTTGCTAGCTGCTCTGAAATTACAAAACTCCATACCTGGAAACATCAAGAAAGTAAAGACTGTATAGTCTCTAAAAACCGTAAGACTTCTCTATAAGAAAATTTTTTCATCTTACCTAGTTGTCTATGGAACTCACAGGATTAAGCTTTAAGGGATGGTAGTACAGAAGACATTTTTTATAATTGATAATCATAACCATTGTTAAACATAAAATCAAAACATCTATAACTCTTTAAAACTAGTAAACCTGGTGATGAGGACTACAGGTGCCCCACATGCATTTCACAATATTGTACTTCATCAAATGGTGAAAGACGCTGTTTGCCTCTCTTTTCACCTGTAGGCCTTTAAATACAGTGGAACCCCGCCTTACGGCCACCTTGGTAATACAGTCACCTCGTTATTACGGCCACTTTTTTTTGGCCGCCTGGCAAAAATGACCGTACGTTTTCATGTAAGGGACCGGTCATTATTTATGTGGGGGGGTGGGGGGGATCTTTTTTGTTTTAGCATGAAAGAAAAAACGTGACCCACCCCTTTAAGCCCATTAGTTAATTCTTGACCCACTCCCATATTTAACTTTATATAAGAGGTGACCCACCCCCAACCCCTTTCAATCAGGGACCGCGGAGGGGGAGGGGCTGGTAGGGCCGCGGCCCCACCACTTTTTTACGCCTCCGCCCCCACTTTTTGCGCTAAAAAGAAAAATAATTAAAATTAAAAAAAGACTTGAAACAAGTTTTTTTCCCTCTTTATTCCGCTATATTCTCTGTATTTTCTTTAATTTCAAACGCCAGGCATTTTGTGGGGCTCCTGTGCTTTTCGCGGTAATTGTACCCTGGGGCCGACTTGGCCCTTGATCAAACGCCATGCCTTGGCCACACCTTCGCATCGTTCGGCAGCGTGTTTTGTACTTCCAGCTCCGGCAGAGGTTTTTATCAGTTTTATCAGACGAAATGAAGAAAATTACTAGCTTTTTCAAGCCAAACGAAGGTGAGTAGTTGTTTTGAGTTGATAAAAGTTTTATATTTTGTCTTTCTCCTTTCGAATCAATGAAATATTCGATGGCAAGAAGAATTACATTACTTGAACAGTGAACGGCCATAGTTAGAAATTTTTTAGATCACTTCAGTGTAGTATTTTCTATACTAAAATTGTAATCGCGTCTTTTCTTGCATTGAATCTGAACTGTAAGCTCAGATTCAGTGAAAATGTTGAGTTTGAGTTTGACCAGTAAACATTTCAATATATTGTTAAAAGTTTCATTTTTTGGAAGTGCGAGTTGTTTCTGACTAATATTCGTTAAGAGTAATTGGATTTTTGGTGATGGGTTATATATTTATTCTATTTATAATATTCTACTTATTGTCAGCAATCCTGTAATTTAGCATTAGCTACAAAAGGATAATAAACACATTATTTATTTATAAATAAAGTTGAATTTCATAGACTGTATAATAACTATGATATAATAAATAATAAATCAAATACTATGATTGTATTCCTTTTTTCGATTTTCAACATGAAAAAATTATTTTCAATTGTCAGCCCTCCCACTTTTCACCTTGCTCCGCGGTCCCTGTCAATCTATACCTCTACAGTCAAACTACCTGAAGCGTGAACACCTAGACATCATTATTGATTTCATTAATCGATTATTGAAAAAATAAGTTTTGCAATATTCAAATCAAAACCAGCAGGGTGCAAAGAAAGTCAGTTTCACAAGCCTGCCATTCGGGCAAGCTGTAGCCAGCATTACTAGCCAACAAGTCATTTCAACTAGCCCCAAAACCCTTTTTGATTAGCAGGATTGCATGATTACCATCCTTCTGTAATTTGAATTTCCCAAAAACACAGCACTTGCCTGTCGGGCAAGTTAAGGACAAAAATCACTAGCCCGATAGCAAAATCCACTAGCCCTGGGCTATCGGACACGACTTTCTTTGCACGCTGACCAGTTTAAAAAAATTTGCTTTTTTATTGAAGTCATTAAACAAAAAATAGTAATTCAATTAAAAAACGAATTTTAAAACTGTTTTTGATTTGAAAACTGGAAAAATTTGATTTCACTAAATTGAATAAGGAATTCAATAATCCATTATTGAAACCAATAATGATTTCTAGCTGTTCACACTTCAGGTAGTAACAGTTCCCAGACAGTTATATTAAGAAAAGGAAGCATGCAAGCCTTCTCAATAGGGCTTATGTTTATTTATTGATATTTAGTGCCCACATCTTTGATTCTCCATACTTAGGTTGGATTGCTACATGTGACATCCAGTTGTGTTATATTTCATGCCCAGCATTGCATTAGAATTTATTTAGATCTTCCACATGAATTGTAGTGAGTGTGATTCTTTACAAAACACACACAATGACCCACCCCCAATCATCGTGAAATTCTCTTTTGGCCCACCCCTTTTCTCTAAAAAAAAATAGGCCTGGCCCACCCATGGATTTCCCCCCCCCCCACCCCCCCACATAAATAATGACCGGTCCCTAAAGAAACACTCACTGATACGCGCGGTCACCTCGTTATTACAGCCAATTTTTTTTGGCCCATTAGTGACCGTGTTAACCGGGTACCACTGTAATATTTAATCTTACGTTCCTCAAGAAAAGGACATTTCACTTTTTATCTGCAATGGCCCCTAAGGATGGTTTTCGAATAGGAAAATAGGGGGGTGTGGATTTTTTCTTCAAAGAAGCCGACAAAGGTGTTGACAAATAAACCCTTTCGACTTCTGTTTTCAAAGGGCACCAACAAACATTTGAAGGTTCGGATTTCACTCATCCTTCAGTGGGGGCGTGGATAAAAAATGGAACATCCCAAAATAATCCTTTTTCCATTACTGTGCAATTGGTTTGTGCTTGGTACGCTGATTGCATGATTAATTGCATGATTTGCTTAAGGAACCCAGCAGGGTTGTTCATGTTTTCAACGCTCACCCGGCCGTCTGAACCAGGGCGGATGGGGCGGATAGGATTTCGTCAGATTGTCGCCTGGCTACTCAGCGCAATCAATATGGCGGCCGGTAAGAACATGCCGGCTTTCCGATCATTCTCTTACCTTTAGTGGTTTCTCAGACATGGAAATAAAAATTTGTATCAGTGTTTTTCTACGCCAATGCCGGAGAAAGTGAATATCATAGAATGGAATCAACTAGAAAAAAGGAAGTATTATTTGTTTCTGAATGTTTACACGTTGGGCACAAATGCTGTAACATATCCTATCGATGTCATCAAAACCAGACTTCAACTCCAGCGCTCGAAATGCCTCTACAGGAACACGTTCGATGCTATTTACAAGACCGTGAAACACGAAGGATTCCTGGGGCTGTACAAAGGTTTCACAATAAGCCAAGTCAGTATCCTCACAGGGCATGTGTACGCCACAAGTTACGAGATTTCCCGAGAACAGTTCTCCACACTCCAGAACGCAGTCCGTGGCTTTATCGCTGGTGGACTCGCTGCAGTTGTGGAGCAGACATTTAGCAATCCAATCGACGTTATATCTCAGCGTCTGATGGTCGAAGGACAAGGACAGCGGAATAAACAATTAAACACTCTTAAGTCTCCGAAAATTGTTAGAAAGGTTTTGAAACAGCACGGAGTCGCTGGTTTTTATCGAGGTTTTGCTGCGGCTATACTTGTAGAGGGGATGTGGAGTGCAAGCTGGTGGGCGTCTTATGGTATGTCTTTGGAATTGATTGGTAAAGTGGCTCCTGATGGGACTTCACATTTTGTCATACAAGGAGTTTCTGGAATGTTTGCTGGAATAATCGCAACTGTGATTGGGAATCCATTAGACATTGTTAAAGTTAGACTTCAGGTAGGTGAAGTTCTTTGCCAACTTCATGTTTCAAGGGTACTGACTTGAACAGGTGCCTCTCACTGTGTTACAAAATTTTGGCTCAGTCCAAAGTAGGCTAAGGGTGGAAATCTCTTTTCCCCTCCCCAATCATTTTTTCCAACCAATTTAAATACCTAAAATCTGGAGACTCTCTTTTTTCACTACCCCCACCCCTTCCCGCCCTCCCACCAAAAAATTGTCCCAGCCCCCAATGGAATGACTTTGGACATTATATGAAGTCTTACATAAAGTACATACTATCAAAATTTGCAATCATCGTTTTGATGTTAGTGACTAAATGTGTGCAAGTTGCTGCAAAAAACTGTACTGTGAATAAGAATAATTCGAGTTTTGAGCTTAAAATGGGCTAAATCTCAAACTATAAAGGCACAGAAAAGCTTAGAAGATGATTTTATCGGCAAGATATGGTGACCCATACAGGAGAGTGGGAGATCGATGCCATATCCGGCAGACTCCCAGATAATCCGGGAGAGTTGGCATGTATGCTATTGTATTTTGGCTTTTCTCAGTCCCTGTCACAGTTTCAACCTATCTTTCTGTCATTTGTCACCATTTCTGCTGCCCTATGTTGCTGTTTCAAGGCCATTTCGCTTATTGGAATTTTACTCTGAAAGGGCCTCATTTTGGGGGTAAAAAATGTACAAATGAATTGTAGACATGGCCTTTCTTTCTTTCTTTCCCTTTTTCTTTCACAGTAACCTTACTTACGATGATTGCTTACTGGAAACAATCTTCAACCTGCTTGCATGTTTCTCTAGCCACTGTACTACCCCTGAGAAGAAAAAAGTGTAGCCTATATACTATTCTGATCTAGAGTAATTGCAGTCTGCCTTTTAGAGCATATTGAGACAAAAATGCTTTTAGACAAAGAAGGGGTGGGGGGAGGAGGGCAAGATGAGAAATGATGGACTGTTGACTTCTTTTGGAGTAAACAAAGTCTCCACCAGCCCAGATATGGAGTAACTGACAGGTTAATTCACAGCTGTTTACAGATCAGTGATGGGTCTCTGGGTATGTTTGGCTTTGCCTCTTCCCACTCATTGTGCTTATAAATTATGTAAACATTAATTTACCTGATATTTGGATTTGTTTTATCATAAGAATTTCTTAAATTCCT